CCACCCTCCCCACTGAGATGGAATGCTGAGTCTCTGGGCCTGTCTTGCTGGGTGCTGAGGCATCCAGGGTGAACAGGAGGCCACAGATCAGGGACCGAACTGTGAAGGCGCTGGCCTGCCTGAGAACCTCAGAGACGGACGGGAGTCAGGAATTCAGCTCCTCGGAACATGTGAGATGAAAGGAATCGATTGTGTGTCCAGACCAGGGGTAACCCCCAGGACCTGTGGATGAGGCCTCATTTGGAACCAGGTCTGTGCAGATGCGATCAAGCTAAGACGAGGTCGACCTGGATTGGACAGACCTTCACCTGGTGACCGGTGCCCTCGTAAGTGGAGGGAAACGTGGACACAGACACACATGGGGGACGGAGGCAGAGGTTGGACGGATGAGTGTAAGCCAAAAAGCCACAGTGGCCACCAGCAGCGGGAAGAGGCAAGAAAAGATCCGCCCCCCCAGATTTGGACACCTTAATTTGGACTTCTAACCTCCAGAACTGGGAGAACGACTTTCCGGGGCTCTGAGCCACCTCGTTAGCGGGCAGTTTGTTAGGACAACCCTAGAACCCAATGCAGTGCCCAAGACTCATTGGTTCCTGGGTCACATTTCTATTGTACCAGGCCCCAAACCAGGGTGCGGGGGAAGCTGCCCAAAACCCCACTGCAGGCTGATCTCAACTTTCCCTTCCAAGGCACCGCCTGGCCTAAGCCTCCCTCCCTGACCACAGAGGACCACCCGGACCAGGTGAGGACCACGCCGCACCCGACACCAGGTGGCGCCAGCAGGCCGCGCCGTCCTGCTCCGTGGGCTCCCGCGTTGGCAAAAGGGACTGAGCGTGGAGAGTCAGCCCCGGGCCGAGCTCCCAAACCCAGGAGCGTCTTTAAGATCTTCTCAGGGAAGGGGTTTTGTCTGTCAGAGGGAGGACATGGGATCTCTCCCCTGCAGACCCATCCCTGCGCGCCCTGGGCAGCCTCAAGTGTGAGCGTCTGGGGGAGCCGGCAGAGGCCGAGGAGGCCCCCCAGGTTTGGCCTCCCAGGCTGGCGGTGCTTGGGGGCCCCGTGCCCTGCGGGGCGCTCCGCCCGTGGAAGTCCAGCCCTTCTATTTTCACCCCAGATGCGATCCCCAGAAACAGGCGTCGGGGCTCCCGTTGGTCCGGCGTGCTGGACCCTCAGTCCCACACCCCTCTTCTTGATTATTTCGCTTCTTCCCAAATTGCAATGAATAACTTGTTCACATCGGACATTTCACACATAAGCAAGGACATCTGTAAGAAAGGCATTTCCAATTTGGGCAGGTCTTCAGACAGTTATATATTAGGCTGAAATTGCCCACATGTGCCCTTTTTATTATTATTATTATTATTATTATTATTATTATTATTAACCTGCAAAAAAATGGCAATTTCGTATGATTGATAGTTTTATATGTTGGCACTTTTGTTCCTATAGGTCTCTCGAGCCTAGAAAGTCCTCTGCTTCCCACGTCTCACCCCACAGCTCCTTCCCCACTCACTTCCCCAGGCATGCTGGCACTCCACTTGAGCTTTTCTTTTTATAAAACCTGCCTTAAGTTTTAGGTGGGTGTTTAATCTCCTGCGTACTCACCGAGGGTAAAGACTGAGTCTTATCTGTGGCCGTGCCCTGGACCTAGTCCAAGGCTTTGTGTAAATCCTGAAAAGATTTACAATGAATGAGTGAAGAAGCGACTGCAGTGGGAGCGGGAGTGGCCATCCCACAGAGAGGCCATCACACCCAGTTTCTACATCTCTCGGGAGCACAGAGGCTGAAGGGTCTCACAAGACCACCCAGAAGCCACAGCAGCCCCTGTGCTTAGCCTGTTTGGTTTGTGTCTTCATACACACACACACACACACACACACACACACACACACACACACGCCCAGATATTCAGCCCCAGCCAGCAGGCTTGACCTGCAAACAGGCTGCCTCTGCTGAAGGTTGCCAGGCTACTTGCTTCCCCAGAGAAGCTGCGGGGGGAGAGGGGGAGCCCACACTTGCTAAACCCTCTGCGCTGCCTGCCAAGTTGAGAATCATTTCCTGCCCGGGTCCCAGACAGTTCACGCTGCCCCAGATGGGCTGCTCAGGGACATTCCCATGTTGTGACATTTCCTTCTCTGGGGGCCCTGGGTGTCATGGGAAAGAGGAAACACTGAACAGCTGTTCACCTCTCCCTGTGGGATGAGCCTGTCCCCAAGCCCCGCAATGTCTGCAATGCCCCTCCACCAGGGGGCGTGGAGGAGGGGCCAGGGCTGCCCTGGGAACGCGCCACCTCCTGCCCAGGTTCAGATGAACTCCTTGCCTCAGGAATTGAAGATGAAATCCCATATATTCTCCTCTCACAGGGGATCAGGCTATACATACACACACACACACACACACACACACACACACGTGTGTGTATATACATATATATGTGTGTGTATACATATATATGTGTGTATACATATATATGTGTGTGTATATACACATATATACACATATATATATGTATGTATATATATATAAACTGTGATGCCCCCTCTAAGTTAAATGAGCCATATATTTTATATATTCCAATAACCCATATGTAATTCAGAGAGGAAATCAATTTTGACTTTTCCTCTCAAACATGGGTATTTGGCCATCAAACGTGGACAGTTTCCAATACGTTTTTGTTAAAGAGTTAAGCAAACATATATTTTAAAAATTAACAAAACAACTGGGAATCAAAACAGTATCATTTTCTTTCAACTGGTATATATTTTAAATTGATAATTGCCATGCTGGTGAGGCTGTGGGAGAATGAACACTGCCAATGAAAATGTGATTTGGGATAACTTTCACTGTGGGCAATTTGAGGTATATCAAAAGCCCCTAAAATGTGCATTTCTCTTGATCCAGCAATTTTCTTTCCAGCTATTTATCCTAAGAAAATAATTTAAAATGTTATCGAACATAAGAGTTAAAAAAAAAAAGGCAAACTAAAAGTCCAAATTTCCAATATGATAGAAAACTTTGCAGCCTTTAATATGAGGGAGATGAATGTTTTATGGGCTAATAGACTGTACATTTAAAAAAAAATACTATTAAAAAGGGATCTTTCTAAAGAGCAAAATACAGGCATAGAAAAAAAGAAGATTGCCAGTAGGAAGTGGTGTTATGGGTAGTTTTAATTTTCTTTCTACTGAGATAAAAAAGTATTACTTTGGCCTATTTAAAAGTTTTTAAAAAATAATTTTTATTAATTGCAGAGAGGAAGGGAGAGGGGAAGAGAAATAGAAACATTAATGATGAGAATCATCGATCTGCTGCCTCCTGCACACTGGGGATCAGGCCCACAACCTGGGCGTGCCCTGAAGGGGAATTGAACTGTGACCTCCTGGTTCATAGGTCAACGCTCAACCACTGAGCACTGGCCGGGCTAAAGGCATTTTTGTTACTACTTTTGCTGCTCTGTAGGGGTCTCAATTTTCCAAACTGTGAGATGGGATTAGCAGCAGGAAATTCCTTCTCTCTGCTCCCATCCACCTTTCTCAGCCTGAGGCTCCACTTCAAAGACAGCCCTTCCCCAGCAGCCCTGCAGGCTTGTAGGCTTTGTTATCTGTCCCCACTCACCACCTGCCATCAAAAGGCAACAACCCCAGCACTGACCCCGTGTTGACACGTCTTTCTTCCCCAGCATTCCTTACCTGATGGGACAGGTTTCTGCCTGAAGCTCGTTGGTTAGCACAGCCTCTAAAGGCAGAAAGAAGGCGGTGAGGGCCTGGAGAGGCAGGAGCGTCTGATGGGGTAGGGGGTGGGAGTCCCTTTAGAACTCCCTGGGTTTGAATTAAATCCTGGCTCCACTGTGGGCAAGTTCACGCAGGTGCCTCGGAGTTGTTTTTCGTGGCCTGGGGCTGCGGTGATAATGGGGCCCTGCCTTATAAAAGTTGCTGTGTGGATTCCCCGCCAAAGGCTTCCAACTGTGCCTGGCACCGGTAAATGGTTTTTAAGTATCAGCTATTACCACTATTTGAAGAGCTGGTAAACTGTTCTTCACCTTCCTTGCAACCACAGCAATTATGTTTGTGTGGAGGACTGGTGCCACCGAGATTAAGACGAAAATGTTTTCACACCCAGCACTGCGAGGCAGGGAAACAAGTCACCTCGACCATTTCACCTGGAGCAGGTGTCAGCACAGCCGAGGTGCCCTGCACACCCTTCCACTCACACCCTTATCACCTGCTGTGATGGCTCCTTACTGCCAGCAGGCCCGCCTGGCAATGACCTCACCTCTGCGTGCCATTCCAACATTCCCCTCCCCCAAACAGGTCTTCCATCTCAGAGGATTTACAACTTATTCCACGGTCTCCAGGTGCATCCCCCGAAAGTCTCGCTTCCTCTCCCCGAAAAAGCAGAGCTTAGTCAATCAATCTGCTCTTTAAACCTGCTCCTAGGATGAAGGGAAGCTTCCCAGCGCCACTGGTGAGGGCCCTCTCCCTCAGCTCACCCTGAGCCCCTCCCCTCAGCCCTGCCAGGCAGCAGCACTCGTCCTTTGTTTCTCTAACTGGCTGTGCTTCCTCTGCTGCCTTTGCACCCACACACACACAGTGTTCTGCCCCTTAGCCTCACTGTACGGGCCCTCACCTCTCAGCTTAAATGCCAGTTAGTCCGAAAGGAGCTTTGACTGTCCACGCTCCCTTCCACTTCCCGGGTCACGCTGTCATCAGGAACCGTTGTAACTGCCTGCCTTCCCAGCTCATTAGAAACCCATCAGGTCTGGCTCACTCCTCAGTCCCAGCATAAAAACAGTTGGCACACGGAGAGCGTTTTAAAGAAAAATGTATTCCCACGTATGCTTGTGGTCTCTCCTCCTTGTGGCATGTACCACCTCCCTGTCCCCTCTCCACCTGCCAGGCGCCTCTCCCCAGGGCTGGGGCTTCATCCTCCCATGAGCTCCTCCCCACACACAATCTTTCCACTGAGGGTCCCTGTGAGCATTTTATGGAAGGATCGCATCTCTCACAACTGTCTCATAAGAACTTTTTTTTATTATTTAGAAATGCAGTTATATACATAGAATTAAAATTAAATTAAACTTTGTACAAATATTAAAATACTATCTTCACACCCACTGCAATGTACAGGATACCAAAAAATATATATAAAATAAAGCAAACCCAAACTGATTGACATCCTGCACAGTCTATGATGCAAGTGTTGTTTTAAACCATTACGAGTACCATTCTGCAAGGTTCCATAGTGGTGTGAAAAGCCAGGGCAGTGTGTGGCAGGCAGCCACACAACCCGCATCCCTCTCTCCTTCCTGCCGGGCAATCCAAGTGCTCTGTGGCCTGGTGCAGGGTTTAACTTTGATGTTTTCAAAATTCTACTAGGTTTTCAACTGGAGATTAAGAGGAGTTTCCCAGCAAAGCTGAGCCCACCAAGCAAAGTCCCTCTGAGCCCTTCACTGATCATCAGCAATGTCTGCCCCTGTGCCGAGCCCCGGGAGGCCCCGAGAGAAGCTCCCAGCCAGCACATCTGGGGTTCAGCTGGAAAGTCTGCAAACCACTTCCCTTCTGGGTCCTTTATTCTCTTTTAAGAGGAAAAAAAAAAGAGAGAGAGAGAGAGAGAGAGAGCAAGGATGTAGAAATATTTGCAGCATATTCCGCTCTTGATGTAAGCCTGTAACCTGGGAATGGAGGGGACATTGTTACGGGGGAAGCAGTGATCGGAGTGCTCAGCCCAGACTAGGAGGGAGAGGCGAGTGCTACTGTCCCTGTGCCACCACTCGCGAGGCAGGAAGAAGATACCTTTGTTGGTCTTGTCATGCAGCTTCTCCACAGAACACTGGGGGGGAGGGGGGGGCCAAGATAACATTAGTTATAGTTTTATTTGCAAATGGAGTGTTAGCACACACACTGAAATGCCTTGTAACCCAAAAACTCACAGTTGGCCAGGACTCAGCCCATTTCACAGTCCACACTGAGTGAAGTGGGAGCACAGCACACAAAATCCAGAAATGGCAAAAGATAGAGCCTACTTGCTAAACGAAGGCATGGAAAGGGATGGAAATATAAGTGATCTTCACCGGAGACTGGCCCTTGTAAGTCACTGGACTGTAACTGCAAGTTGCCAGGACATAAAACCTGCATTGAGTTAGCTCAGGTGTGCAAAAAAAAAAAAACCTTTTCAAAGAAAGTCCTTTGGTGCTGACCATTGTCCTGGCCAAGCCCTCACTCCCCTAGAGGTGAGCCCAGGCAAGCAGGGCTGTGGGCGGTTTCCCCATCTGCTCTGGGCTCCTGACAGCCTCCTTCCTGGCAGCCTGCCACCAGCCCCCATCCTGTCTTAGTCAAGTCCCACTTAGGCAGCTGTAAAGTCCCTAATCCCCTGCAGGGGACAAAACCCAGAAGCTCCTGGAATAGTAGCGAAGGGTTGACGGCAAGAAATTGCTTCAGGGAAAGAGAACGAACAGCTGTGGTGGATGCCAGCAGGATGAAGCCTAGTTCCCGCACCCACAGAAGTGGGCCTCATCCGTGTCCGTGACAAGAGGGCAGGGTGAGGAGAGGTGGGGCCAAAACGGGAGGCCCCCATTTACCCTTCTTTCTCCCCAGCCAGGCACACAAACCTGGGTCTGTGACCAGGACAGTGTTGGCGGCGGCTGGCTGGAAGAACGCTGCAGAAGGCAGGCTTTTCATCTTTCCAAGTTTGGAGCCAGTAACCCATGGGGCTGAACAATCCCCAAACAAAAAGTGCAACCTCTTAGGGGAGGAAAAATGCCAGAGCAATGCTATAAAAAAGGGGCAAGATCTCTCATTAAAAGAAAAACCTCAGCTAGAACTCGGGTTTTAGATGACTGGGACTAAATCAGCAGGCTTAGCAGACTCCAAATCCCACACCATGTGCCCTGCTTTATTTTTGGCGGAAGACAAGGGTACCCCTGCGGGGAAGGGGAGCCTATGCACGGGGAGGCAGCTGGGTCATGAGGGACTCGCCCTCCAGATGGGCCCAGAGCCCACGACTGCTGGCAGGCACTCTGCTGGAAATGGCCTCTTTTGAGGCGAAGGACAGCCCCCTGGGACATTTCATCTCCCTCAAACACTCTGACCTCTGGCTCTGGCACCTTTGACAACCTGTTCCATGCCGAACCATGCTGGCCTGGGCTTCAGGCACAGAACTCGCAGGCTCTGGGGTGGGAGGGGGGTGGGGAGGAGTGGCTAACAGGCACAGCAGGCACTGCCCTTACCCTGAGAGAAAGGGAGACAGCAGGGCAAAAAGAGGCCAGGAATGAGCGGGTAGTAAAGTGCGTGTGAGAGTGGAGGCAGGAGGCTGAGAGGAGGCCATTCCCCTAATCTTCCAGGCCACCCCCTCCTGGAGCTACCCTGCTTGGCCAGCTATTGAAAATATATTGGGCTCCTCATTACTTTTACCACCCGAGAGCTCGGGGAAGGAGCGGAAGGCCAGCATGGGGGAGTGGACACCTCTGAAGTTCCCTAGCCCCAATGTTTCAGAAACAAAAATAAATGCCACGTCTTTTAAAGATGGAAGCAGCCTGCCTGAGCTCTGCCACCCAGCCTTGTCAGCATTCGCGACGTGGCTAAAAGAGAACTGAGAGCCGGAGCAGAAGCATCTGGAGCAGGGAGGCCACTCCTTCACCACCAGGGCCAGGTGCCAGGCTGCTCTGCAACCCTTCACCCACAGGCAGCCTGCACGGTGTGTCTGTGGGGGTGAGGACTGCCTCTCAGCCCCTCCCCCATGCCCAGGACGACCAGGGAGCCATCTATCAGCTGTGAGCGGGAAGGGACAGCAGGGGAGGACAAGAGTAAGAAAAGCAGCAGTGCAGCAAAGCAGCAGGACGCTTCCTGGACCATTTACTAAGGCACGTGACTGTGGTGAGGAGGACCCTCAGGCCTGGGGCTGGCGCTGCCTGCAGCTGCCTGGGGACTCCGTCTGTACCTCTCAGGTTCCCCTCCGTCACCACGAACCCAGAACGGGCAACTTGCCCTGTCAGTGACCAGACGGGCAGTCCCTGGCATCTCAACAAGCTCCTGTCCCAGGGATGACTCCCCTCAGAACTCTGTGGGCAGCAAGGTAGCAGGCTGCCCGTATAAACCCCAGGAGGCAGCATGCAGCTTCCCATTATGCTCCAGGGAAAGAAAAGCGGAAGCCAGGAAGCCACGCTGAAGGAGGTGTAACCTGCATATTAGGAAGACAACCAGGATCTCCTGGAAGCTCAACACAGCAGGGCCAGGAGCTGGCATCTGAGCTGACAGCCGGGTGCTGGGTCAGGTTTGGCAGGATTTCCCCACTCCTCCGCCCCAGCCAAGAAAACGTGCCACCCGTGTCAACCAAGGGCAGGCCCAGGGACCCACACTCTTGCTCCAGTTAAGAGTCCCTCTTGGATCTGCTCCTGGTAAGCCCTCCAAGGAAACAAGCCAGACTCAGGCCCACCCCTTGTGTGGCAGGGGGCAGCAGTGCAGCCACTAAGGCTTGTAGGAGAGCAACAGGCCTGCGTGACAGGGAACCTGGACAAGGAGGGGGAAGGCACAAGTAAACACAGAGGTTCTCTGGCCCATGGGCTGGTGGGGCGGCCGCCAGAGTTGGCTGGAGGGCTCCCAGAGGCCTCAGGGAAAGGAAGGGTTCAGTCCGGCACATTCAAACATGTTCCCGACACAGATGGGAAGGCTGGACCAGGCAGAAAGCCAGTTCCTCCAGCTGTCAAGCAGGCAGATGGCAAGAATCTTCCTTGAGTTTCCAGCAAGGTGGGCCTGCATGCCCTCAGAGATCCACAGGTGGCAGCTCAGATAGCCGGGCACAGGGAGAGGGAAGAAGGGCAGAGAGGACCATTGCAGAGGAGAGAGGTCGGTGGCAAACCTCATGCTTCTTTCAACAGCGGGATGTCTGTAGGAAGAGAAGGAAGGCACAGTGGTTATCCACGTGGGTCTCTGTAGCACATCAGATACCACTGTAGGGGCCCTTAATTTAGAGAAAGAAAATGCATTACTCATACTCTTCTAGGTAGTCTAAATCTCTGGTCTCTTTTTTAGTACTCTTTGGCTCATCTCTCCCCTGCCTATGTGATAACATCTAGTATTCAAACCCCTTCTGATTTCCCTTCTCTGCCTTTACTGCTTGTCTGGTTGCTTCTCTTTCTGTCCTTAATCTCACCCTGTGATAGTACTGAGCTCTGTTCAAGTCCCACCTCCTCCTTCACGTCACTGTCCAGCTGTGTGACAGTGAATAACTGACACTTCAAGGTCCTGGCTTCCTACGGTGCTGTTGGTCCCAGACGGTTTGGGCATGGCCTGCAACAAACTTGATAACCGACGTGTTGTTTCCTGAACCCCTTATTTTGGCATGGACCCTATGACTCTTGGTTCCATTATTTCTCGAGTATAAGCCCCATCTTCCCAAGTGACTGCCAATCCAAACAGGCAGAATGTTTTCTATTTTTCTGTATACACCCTGAAACCTAACCTGGCACTAGGCACAAGATGGACTCTCAAAATGCTTGTTTGGCTGTGTGCTTTAGGAGGGAATTCTAGTCTCAACTTTTTTTTTTTTTTTTTTTTAATATATCTTATTGATTTTTTACAGAGAGGAAGGGAGAGATAAAGAGCTAGAAACGCCAATGAGAGAGAAACATCGACCAACTGCCTCTTGCACACCCCCCATCGAGGATGTGCCCGCAACCAATGTACATGCCCTTGACCGGAATCGAACCTGGGACCTTTCAGTCCGCAGACCGATGCTCCACCACTTAGCCAAACCGGCTTCGGCTCTAGTCTCAACTTAATTGTTGTCTGAACACATCCCCCTTCCCTGACCCCCTTTCTTGGTTTTGGGTAAACATTAGGGGTGTTAGTCTCAAACTGTGAAGTGACATCTCAAAAGCAGTCCCTAAGGACCTAGTGGCTTCACTTGAATTTAAACCAGCTCTAGATAGGAAAACACCTAAGTTCCTTCATTCGCTTTTTCAGTGGGGTAGCACATCCCATATTTTAGAACAAGTAGGGTGCCCTGCTTAAATAAAAATAGCATTTAATGAATCATTGTGTGAAGGGTTTATGGATAAAGCTGTACTTCTGTCACATTGTGGCAGTACATTCTGCTTTCATATTAAATAGCTTGTTATCTAAACATTAGGTAAAAAAAAAATGCTTGTTTGGTACATGGAACAAAGCGAGGTAGCAAGAAGGGAAAGAGCTGGCACCATCGTGGCTCCTTAGGAAGGGCAAGGGCTGAGATTTGCACTTGGGCATTGTCACTCTGTGTGGACACACAGTGTGTGTGCACTGATAGACAGTATGTGTGGCTGGCTGCCCATGGGGTCAACGATTTAGTTGACCTTTCCTAGCTCTTTATTCTAAAGAAGAAAGGGATGTTGCTAATCATTGGGGAACTCCATAAACATGATCTGCATTCAGATATGCTAAACATTAGACACTGATTGTGTCTGGGATAAAAGCATAAAGCTTTCTCGGGGGGCGGGGGAGGTTTGTAAGTGCAGAAGTACTCGCTGTCAAAAGGGAAACATCTAGGTTTTGTCTGTATCCTGAACCACAATGGGATTTCATGTAAAGTGATAGAGTCAATCCCAACATTCAACTCTCAAGGCCCTGGCAAAAGCAGAGGTGTCAGGAAGTGGCAATTTCGTTCTACAACTGGTTTGCATAAAGGACTTGGGAGTCATTTGGGAGGCAGCATGGCACCATGGGTCATAAAACACAGGCTTTGGAACTGATCCCCCTGGCTTCATATCCCAGCTCACCAATTACCAATGGGCAAGTGACTTAGCCTCTTGGAGCCTCAGTTTCCTCGTCTGTAAAATGAGGACAGTAGCATGTAACACCTACCTCTCAGGATCACAGTGAAGCTAACGGAGATAGTGTAAGAAAACCACTAGCACAGGCCCTGGCATACTCCTATTTAATAAGACGGAGCAGCTGAATGCTATGGAAAAGAAACAGCACCAGTTTTCTCTGTAACATGATCCCACACAACTCCCCATAATCCCTGACCTTCCAGGAGTATAAAATTACATGAGGACAGACCCCATCCTCACCTCCAACCAGCTGTTTACCCTTTGATGTAGCACAGCCCTGTGGCCATGAATAATTTTGGCGACTCCAAACTACCAAAATTCACAGACCACAATGAAAGTCTCCCTATAAAGAGCTCAAAGAACCACCTAGAACTGAGGGTAAAATCCTATTTTGCAGGCTAATACCCCAGGTATTATCTTTGTCTCCCCGCTTCGCCCAATACGCCAATTATTAGAGAGGCTCACATCCTTCCTTACTCCCAGGAGCTGCTAGCAATTCACGATCGGTGCAGACCACCTACCGTCTGTGTAGTCCTCCGATGTGAGGGATAAGAGGCTTTGTATGTCACTGTTCTCTGAATCCGGGGCTTCTTTGTGGGCCAGCTGGCTGTTCCCTGAGCCGGCCACCCAGGAAGAGGTGGTTGCCTGATGCACTATCACAGTCTCTGAGCCCTGGGAGCCCCAGGCTTCACACAGTCCAGACTGGCCCGGGGCCTCCTCCTCTCCACCTGCAGAGGAGCAGGCCCCCTGGTCCTGTAGCTGCTGCTCCCTTGGCCCATTCCTCCCACTAGGCCCAGACCCCTCTGACAGCACAATCTGCACTCTGGGGTCAGCGGGCGGCACGCAGTGACCGGAACTGCCATACACAGCCTCCTCATATGACGGTAGTGCAACTTGGACTCCATCCACCATGATGGAGACTTGGTCCCCGGATACCCCCTGGTCACGCCTGCATCCGGAGAGGAAAAGACAAAGGAAGAATTAAAATACACAAATAAATACCATAATACTGTACTAACAACACTAACCATTTCTGAGCACTTACGTACTATGCGCCTGATACAGCACTGAGTGCTTTATATACTTTATCGCACTGAATCCTCATCTGAGTTCTTTCTGGCAGAGCTTCACCAACAATGCAGGTGAGGCTCAGAGAAGTTACATAACTTGCTCACAGTCAAGAGCTAGTAAGGGAAGAAGCTGGGATTTAAATCCAGTTCCACCTGCTTCCAGAAACTGTGTTCTTAAAACCTCTGGGTACACAGGCAATCTAGCCCTCTGGTCCTGTGCAAAACTGGAAACCTAGAAATAAAGCCATTCCTTCAGCACAGCTAGAATAAGAAGTGAGAAAAAGATGGCTGCCACCTGCGAATAAAACTAAAAACCATTGCCTGTATGTGTAAATGAATACAGTGAATGATGTGTAAAATATATCTCCATGTCCGGCCGCATGGCTCAGTGGTTGAGCATCAACCTATGAAGCAGGAGGTCATGGTTTGATTCCCGGTCAAGGCACATGCCCCGGTTGTGAGCTCAATCCCCAGTGTGCGGTGTGCAAAAGGTTACCAATCAATGATTCTCATTATTGATGTTTCTATCTCTCTTCCTCTCCCAATCTCTCTGAAATCAATAAAACTATATTAAAATATATATATACACACATACATACACATATACTATACATATATATAAAGTATATTCATAAAATGGTTCTTATCTACTTTATTTTTCACTCAACATTATGTTTGTGAGATTTGTTCATGCAGATGCTTTTTAGAGGACCACTTGTAATGAATATACACACATACATACTTTTTAAGAAAAATCTGAACCATTTTGACAGTTGAAGACATTGTTCAGTGCATACCTCCCAAGAACCTTGTCTCCTATATAAACACAATTATCATTACATCCCAGAAGTTTAACATTGGTATAATACTGTGACACAAATTCCCCCATAAATATATCCATTTCAGCTGCTGTTTGTTTTCACCCAGGACCCGTTTAAGGATCATGCACTGCATTTAACTGTCCTGTCTCTCTTCCTATCTCCTCTAATCTAGAACAGTCCTCTGCACCTTTTCTTTCATGACAATTTTTTTTTCTAGACTTCAGGCCAGCTGTCTCTTAGTCCCACATTCTGGACTTTTCTAATTTCTTCAGGATTATGTGCAGGCCATTTTTTTTTTTTTTTTACTAGAACCCATAGGTGATGTGTCCTCAGTGCATTACAATCAGAGACATATGGGCTATGCAGGACAGCATTATTACTAGGCTGTTATTAGTTCTCAATTTCTTCATCTGTACTTGGAGATAAAATCTGTGCTACTCAATTCAAATAAAGTCCACACTGTAAGGATGACAGAAGTGGCACTTCATAAAGGTACTTATGAGTACCTGGAAGGAAGACACACTTTGGTGGCAAGGTGGTATTAGAAGGCCGTGTATATTCTGGCATGTGCTTAACTGTAAATGTTAAAAATACATTTTTTGTTTAAAAAGTAATGCACATACACAGTACAAAATGCAAACAGGGTCTCAAATGAAAACCAATCTCCCTTCCACTCAAATCTGGCAAAATCAGCTAGTTACCTTTAACAGACTTACTAGTTAACTGCAAAAAGGAAAACTCCCTAATGTAAATGAAATGCAGTTGACTTTATGTGGAAATAGTTGATTCCTTTAAGTAAACAATCCCTTCCAAACCCTCTTTATTCTATTAATTGCTGAGCAACCTTTAAAAATAGTGGTTAGATGCCGAAACCGGTTTGGCTCAGTGGGTAGAGCGTCGGCTTGCAGACTGAAAGGTCCCGGGTTCTATTCCAGTCAAGGGCATGTACCTTGGTTGCGGGCACATCCCCAGTGGGGGGGGGGGGGTGCAAGAAGCAGCTGGTCGATGTATCTCACTCATTGACATTTCTAACTCTCTATCCCTCTCAATTCCTCTCTGTGTAAAATCAATAAAATATTTTTTAAAAACTTATAAAAAAAATAAAAATAGTGGTTAGAGCATCAACTCATGCACTGAAGGATAAAAGGTTTGACGCCCAGCCAAGGATACATACCTCAGTTGCGGGTTTGCTTCCGAACCCATCAGGGCATGCGCAGGAGGCATTCAGTTGATGTCTCTCTCACATCAACATTTCTCTTTCTCTCTCTCTCTCTCTCTCTCTCTCTCTCTCTCTCTCTCTCTCTCTCTCTCTCTCTCTCTCCACCCCCCCCCCTACTCTCTTTGAAAAGCAATGGAAAAAATATCTTTGTGTGAGAATTAAAAAAAAAAAGCTGGTATGCCCCTCCCCAACTAAACAAAATAAAAAGAAGAAAGACCACACACAGTACAGAAAGATTAAACTGAGCCTGGTCCTTGTCTGTAAATCCCAAATCAGAAGCATTTTATTTAAAGAAGTTTAGTCTGTTCTTTCATTCATTTAGCCTGTGAGAGTGATAACAGTGACTGACGAAGGACTTGAATGAATAGAAACTGTTCCTGAGAAAGGAAATGAGCTATTGCAGAGGCCAAGACAGCCTGGGAGAGAAGTCCATCCTAATGGATCCAACTTGGGGCCACTCCTCATCATTGGCCACTCCTCACCAACCACACCCACCCAGTCTGGAATGTGACTAATGCACTCAAACTGGAAAAAGTCAGGCAAGAAAACACCCCCTCTGTTTTAGTATGGTATAGTGCATTGGCTCCAAGTCCGAGCTGCACATTGGAACCCACTGAGGAACTGTATAAGACACTAGTGCCAGATTCCCACTCCAAACCAAATAAATCAGAATAGCTGGGGTAGAGGCCCAGGTGTTGTATGTTTTCTACTCTGAGCAGGAGCCTCTATGTACAGCCAGATTGGGAAGCAGGTACATTGGGCAGCGACTTGTAAATACTAGCCTGCATCAAATCACCTGGAGGAAGTGAGGAACCCTGTCACTCAGCCTCAACCCCAGAGTTTCTATCAGTTGGTTTGGGGTGGGAACTGAAAATTTGCATTCCTAAAAGTTCCCAGATGGTACTGATGCTACTGGAACCACACTTTGGGAACTACTGATGTAGGAAAAAGGACATGGTTTTGGAATTGGCAGATATGAGTTCAAATCTCAGCTCTGTCATCATCTAGAGCAGTGGTCACCAACCGGTGGTCCTCGGACTAGTGGTGGTTCGTGAGGTTCCAAAGGGGGCAACCACTGTTGTTTAAGGGAACCTTTGGAACAGTGGTCACCAAACGGTGGTCCACGAGGTCCAAAAGGTTGGCAACCGCTGATCTAGAAGGATGACCTTGAGTAAACGACTTAACCATTCTGAGCCTATTTCCTTATCTTCAATATTCCTGTGAAAATTTTTTGAAATTGAATTTATTATATAGGTTGATAAAATTATATAGGTTTAAGGTGTACAGTTGTATAATACATCATCTGTATATTGTACAGTGAGTTCATCTTATGAGGAGTAAGATAATGTATGCAAAGCAACAAGCACAGTGTCAGGCACATCAGCACATGACAGAGCCCTCCCCTTCCCTGGGCACCTTCAGGCCAGCAGGAAGACATGCCAGCCAAAGGCCAGGCCCAGTGATGCCTGCCACCCGTGCTCACCTGCTATGATGGAAAGACTTCAGCTTTGGCTGCAGCAACACAAACAGCACCACAAGGAGGAGAATGAGTGCCACGGAGCTGGCAGTGGAAGCCACGATGGACAGTGTGGGGACCCCAAGTGATGTCTTGGTGTCTTTCTCTGCAGAAACAAGCCATCATCAGAAGGCATTTGTATCCAGACAAATACATGAGCCCCACAGCTGATCTTATGAAAGACCCCCTGCCCAGTGTTGTGCAGAGACATACCTTGGCCAAGGCCATTTTTAGGAGTAACAGTGCAAAGTAGTTTATACACACAAGAAAAGGGACCATTCCCTATCCTGAAGCTATTATTCCCTTCTCTGTGGGCCTTTGAGGACCACCTGACACCTAAACTCACTCACCTAGAGATCTTACCTTTTAAAATGGTAACCTACTAGTTACCTTTTAACCAGTAGCCAGCTGGTAGACAGCAATCATTGAGATGAACACATCAGCCCACCATTTTTAAGTCCCACATATCTTTTTCCCTATGTGGCAGAGAAGTTTTAAGAACTGGGCTATAATAACCTTACCCTGTTCTGAGATCCTGCAGCTTTAGTTGTAACTCTCAGGCTGGTTCGCACCCTCCCCTGGGATGTGATGGCCTCTGAGCCCAAGTGTGAAACACAAAGATGGCTGTATACTTTCCTGCAGGCAGCTGGATTTTCCTGTCATGCATGACAGGAGTGGGGGAGGTCTTCTGCCTGCTGGACTACAGCTCCATAACAAAACAGTTCATTACCATTCAAAAATAATAACATAAAAGAAACACTATAGAAGGTGTTAGCATGGTGCTCATGTGTTAGCAGAGCACGGTCAAAGGTCACCAGCACTTGGCTAGGCAAACAAAAGATCAGGAGCATCAAAGGGACCTTACACAGCCGAACAGATGCCTCAGCAAAGCTTCTGAGCCCTCGGTGGCTCAGCTGAACCACAGAGGGACACACACCAGCAACCCCAAATGTTTTCACAAAGACATGAAATCCCAAAAAAGGGAGTCTGCAGGGCATCAAAGGGCCCATACTGCCCCACGGCACAGGATGCTCAGGAAGAAGCGGGTGCCACTTCCCTTGAGTTAAAACAGAACCCCTTTCTCATTTGCCAAACTCACCCTCGTTAAGATGGCAGCTAATCTCCATGGCTGGTTTCCATTCGCCATTCTTACACGTCAGGTATTTGTAATCGCCCTTTAGCACGTAGCCTTCAGCACACAGGTACTCGATGACACTGCCCGAGCTCAAGGGGTCTCTGCAGGGCCGGGGGTGGCAGACGTAGCCACCATTCTCTGGCTCCGGGGGCAGGGAACACACTGCAAAGACAAAGAGAGCGCGAGGTTTTCCAGCGGGAGTCCTCTCGGTGACTCGGAGGACAGTTCCAAAGGCTTCAACAAGAAACACAAGGAGCACAGAGCCAGTGTCTTGGAGAGGCTGTTGGCCCAATGTGGAAATGCAGGCTGCTGCTGAGAGAGTGAGGGCGCTGGCAACGATTTTAGTTTGGCTGATTCCAACACTCCTCTCCCCACTGTTCCCACAAGTGAATGGTAGACTGGCCAAGTCCTGAACTTATGGAGATCTAGCACATAATATGGCTTTAATAACACCTGCTGAAACACACAATGAATCAGTGAAAGGTGGTAAAAAAAAAAAAAAAACTCTTGCATGGGGGGAAATGTTAGCCTTATTTCCAGCATCAATACTAGAAAGGGCTCCATTGTGTAATAGAAATGTGCCTTCTCGCCCGGCTGGTGTGGCTCCAGGGTTGAGCATCGAACTATGAAACAAGAGATCACAATTTGATTCCCGTTCAGGGCACATGCCCGGGTTGTGGGCTTGATTCCTCAGGGTGGGTGTGCAGGAGGCGGCTGATTAATGATTCTCTCTCATCATTGATGGTTCTGTCTCTCACTCCCTCTCCCTTCCTCTCTGAAATCAATAAAAATGTATTGGTAATTTAAAAAATAGCCTTCTCGGCGGCAGAGGGGATTTCTATTGGATTTCCTGGGAGCACCTCCCACTTCCTGACTATAATAGTCACTGCTGTCACTTGTCTCCAGCCCATAGTAAATCTTACATTGTTTCCTGGGGTTAAGTCTAGTTTTAAAAGCACTTTCCATAATACAATATACAAATGATGTTTTACAGAATTGTACACTTGAGACCTGTATAATTTTATTAACCAATGTAACCCCAATAAGTTCAATAAAATATTTAAAAAAAAAAAAAGGCAATTTGTCTCCTATCCTAGTCGTTCTGACAACTCCGTGAGGGATCTGTTCTGACATCCCCTTTGAAGATGAGGACACCAAGGCCCACAAAAGTTAAATAACTTTTAACCAAGTGTATGTAGATTAAATGGCAGACCTGGGAGGAGAGTCAAGTCTTCCGGTGCTAAAATCTATGCTCTTTACACCAGCCGACACTGCTTCTGCCCCATTAGCTAGGTGGGCCTTTAAGAAGTGTCAAGTGTATCATTCAAACACTGGGAACCCCAGTGTAGAGAAGCTGCAGTAATGATCAGTCACAGAAGCTGGTAGGTGGGAGGTCTGAGCAGCCTGGAGGAGAGATTCCAGGGCCTGCCCTTCTGACCCTGGACAGACACCGCAGAACTGAAATCCCAGGAAGTGGATTAAGTGGTATACTGAGCCAAAATAGGAAGGGCACAGCGTGGGCACTAAGGGATCATTGTTTGGAAGACTAAGCTGAGGGAGAAGACCCACTGGCCCGGATGAACAGTCCCCCACAAACTTCAACTTTCCAAAGCCTTACGAATGCAAGAAAAATAAGTTTCCAAAGGACATTCAATTTTGCTGACTAACACCCTGCCCCTATTTCAAATACCACAAGGACATCAGTATTGAGAACAGGAACTGTGGGTTTCTTGTTTTGTTTTGTTTTCACTTCCTCTAACAGACCTAGAGTCTGTCTGTCCCAGATATGGTGATCTCCCATTCAGAGGCCCACCCATCGCTCTCTCACTCAGAGGTGCCCTTACAGCCTCTCACTAAATACCACTTCCCTTCAACCTACAAATGCTCTTCTTGGTGAGGACAGAGGATGGATATCAAGACTAAAAGGAGAAGACAGCTCCCTGATCTCTGGTTGCTTATCACTAAGATGGGGGCAAGCTCCATTTTAAAAGAGTTGTTACTAAAACAAAGCTGGGGTCAGGAGGAAAAGTCTGAAACTAGGAGATGAGCCCACATGGATCCTCAGTCCCCTCTAAGGACACACCTTCCCAAAGCTGTTCCAAAGCCATCAGGACACAGGCAGACACCAAACACTCCTGCTGGTGCCTCTTTAAACTTCAGCCAAAGAGTTCAAAGAGCTGGCCAGCTAAATTTCCAAAGAAGCCACAGCAAACTGCCTCACCCTGTACCCCTTTTGTTCAGGCAACAAGCCTGCCACAGATGCCTCCGGCTCTCCTCCACCTTGTCTAATTGGTTCATTTCCTCAGCATAATTAATGCTGAGCATCCCAGGACAGCTCCTGAACCAGACAAGACCCACACACAGGTCCAGTGTGTTGGGAAGGATGGTCTCCAGGGAAGAGCTGATTCTAAAGCCGCTCCTGCTTTGCTGGGAATTTATGCTCTTAAAGCCCGTATCTTCACAGCATCTTTGAGTGAGATCCCCAAGGTCACCCAGCACTCATTTTTATAAGTAAAAAAAGTGAGGTCTTCAAAGAAGCGGCTTGTAATTCAATTTCATTTCAATTCAACTAATATTTACTGATTATTGGGTAAGGGTCATTGTGCTATGCTCTGAAAAAGGATAAAAACATAAGGACTTCGCCCATCCAGTGTAGTTCAATTGACTGAATGTCATGCCATGCACCAAGAGGTCACCAGCTTCATTCCTGGTCAGGGTACATTCCCAGGTTGCAGGCTTGATTCCCAGTAGGGGCGTAGAGGAGGCAAATAATCAATGTTTCTCTCTCATTGATGTTTCTCTCTCTCTCTCTCTCTCTCTCTCTCTCTCTCTCTCTCTCTCTCTCTCTCTCTCTCTCTCTCCCTCCCTCCCTCCCTCCCTCCCTCCCTCCCTTCCTCCCTCCCTCTCTCCCCACCCCCCTCTAAAAAAATCAATAAAAAGATTTTTAAAAAAAAGCACTTCCGGTACTTGTAGTCTAATAGGAATATGACAAATAAGTGCATGCATATATTTTGAAAGTCATTTTCTTTCTAGCTCTTGGGTTTTGTATCTTTAAAAAAAAAACACTTTTATATACTGTATATATATTTTTTATTGATTTTTTACAGAGAGGAAGAGAGAGGGATAAGGAGTTAGAAACATCGATGAGAGAGAATCATCTATTAGCTGCCTCCTGCGCACCCCCCCCCCCCCTCACTGAGGATGTGCCCACAACCAAGGTACATGCCCCTTGACCAGAATCGAACCCGGGACCTTTCAGTCTGCAAGCCAACGCTCTATCCATTGAGCCAAACCGGTTTCGGCTGGGTTTTGTATCTTAAGGACACTTTCTCTACTCTGAGATTATAAAAATATTCTCCAGAATTTACAGATTGGATCTTCATTATGCAAATAATATCTTTACAGGGGGAAAACACATAGTAAGAATTTATACATGGTATAAAATTTAAAAACTAAGATGAGTATATGCAGGAAACCAATTACTGTTTCACTAATAGAGAGATGTGGACAGGAAGCCAGGAAGGCTGTCAACAACATTAATTGCTCTAACTACTCACCCTTTAGTTGAGACATTGTTAGCTGAAGCAGCCTCCACCTCTGTTTGTCCTATGTAAATTTCTCTTATTTCCTGCCTAAGCACTACGGGTGTTTTCCCTATAGCCTCAATAAAAGGGGATGGCAGGGCCAGATCAGTGAGTAGTTCTCCCACTAGAGTTGTACTACCGCCTGGCCCCCCATATCGCCAAATAAAATTTCTTTTAGTTTCTTTTCATTTGTGTGTGGCCCTTCTCCAGAACCCGAGCCCTGAACTGGGACCCTGAACCATGTAGGACGTGAAAGGGGATCCCACAAGTATAGAGTCAAAAGTTAGCTCTTCTCCTAGTCACTCAGTTCCTCTCCACAAAGTCTCCTAGTCACTCAGTTCCTCCCCCCAAAGGCACTGGATGAGTCTTCTTCCTAAAACATTCTACACACAGATTTATTCCAAGACATGTCAAAGAATATGATTGGTGCCACAAGAGAGGGAGCTCAAAGCAGGAGAGATCATACCTTGTGTGGGAGATGAGAAAAGGCAGCATTTCATATGGGGCCTTATTTCCTTGGGAAATAAAGTTTGAAGCAATGCAGGAAAGTGTAATTGTTAAGCCCAGCCAACATCAAGTAGCCCACATTAGTTGGATTGGATAATAAAAAAATTTGTCCCCCAAAAATGTGAAGAGCAATGAAACCATCTTGAAGAGGGCCTTGATGGCAACGGGAGATGTCCGCACTGTATTACAAGGAAAAGGGGAGCCTCTGCAGGGTCTTGAGAAAGGCAGCGTTATAAGAGGAGCTGAATTTGATATAAGATGGACCAGAGATAGAGAAAGCCTTTACAGTAAGTCAACAATACAGCTACCCTAAAGGGTAAAATAAATAATACCAAAGTTCTTTTATGGTCGTACAAAGGCAACAAGAGTATATGAGGTTCACAATCACAAAAAAAAAAAACTGTCCCAGGCCCAAGGAAGGAAATAAGAAGGACTCAAGAAAACAAAAAAAACTTTTTTTTTTAAGTATTTCAAGACAACAAGAACCTAAGGGGGAAAATGGGCCCCTTGCCAATTCAAAGAGCATAGTGGGAGAGTCTCAGCAAAGGGCAGGTGTGGGAGCAGACCCCTCAGTGACGCCTGGGGTTAACAGGAAAGAAAAGATCAGAAATAGCAAATAAATCATTTCGTGGCTTCCTGAAACTACTGTTTTGGGCAAGAAGCTAAGCATCAGGCTCACTCTCTAACAGCCCTGGTCCGTAGAGAGTTTCAAGCTCTGTTGTTAACCCCAAGAAGTGAATGAACTCATCTGATTTGGCAAAGCTGCACAATTTTAAAAAGAGAGTGAGAAAGCCAGAAGATAGAAATTTTACAGAGAAAAAAAAAATCAATTCTCTTTACTTAGCTTTCTTCTCTGCTTTCCATTATCTCTCACTATCACTTAGGCTGCCAGTGAGCACAGGAAACGGTGAGATAATGCTTCAAGGGGGCCCCCCCGGCAGCGTGCCCAATGCACAGCAGTCATTCAGTGACAGACCATCCAACCAGCTGGTGAGTGTGCAGACAGAAGAGAAGCAAAACAATCTACCTCAATGTGCCTGCAGCCTCAGACCCTCAGCAGAGATCAATAAG